TATAGCGGTAGGCGTGTATAGAGCGAGGAATCCGTTAGTTGCAGGTGCGTGTGGACCAAGGAACCCATTAGAGGCAGGTATGTGTGGCCTGAGGACCCGCTAGAGGCAGGTATGTGTGGAGCAAGGAACCGTATAGCGGTAGGCGTGTATAGAGCGAGGAATCCGTTAGTTGCAGGTGCGTGTGGACCAAGGAACCCATTAGAGGCAGGTATGTGTGGCCTGAGGACCTATTAGAGGCAGGTATGTGTGGAGCAAGGAACCGTATAGCGGTAGGCGTGTATAGAGCGAGGAACCCGTTAGTGGCAGGTGCGTGTGGACTGAGGAACCCATTAGAGGCAGGTATGTGTGGCCTGAGGACCTATTAGAGGCAGGTATGTGTGGCCTGAGGACCCATTAGAAGCAGGTACGAAGGGCCGGGTGCTGCACTGCCAGGTGGAACTCACTCCTGTTGCCCATGTGACCCCAGCCAGTGATGTAGCAGTAGGTATCTGGCTGGGGAAGCTGGTCTCGGTGGGGGAGGCACACCGGCCGCACGTAGCTGCTCTCCTCTACATCCTGGTCCAGCTCCACCACGCTGATGTCGTAGTCGACCACTGCACGGTTGTAGCGTGGATGCACAATGACCTTCTTAACCTTCCTGGTCTGCATGAAGGGGGATGGATGGTCCAGGTTGTTGATGCCTAACACCACCTTCCATGCGTCGGCACTCTCTCGCCTGGGGGGTATACACACAGAGTTCCCTGTAAAGACACTGGAGGCTCTTGCTCCGTTCCTGTAATCTTGTCTGCAAATCTGGAACAGTAAAAATCTTTAATAAGATCAGTAATTAAATACTAAAATTGTTCAGAAAGGACTATTATAGACAGTGCATAGATCTGATTTTAATCAAAATTTGTAATCATGTACGCCCAGTACGAGCTGAACCCCCATGTCATTTCATGCTACCCCTGGATTATCTAGAATGAGACGTTTTGTTCCATTTTGTCCTAAAACTTCTGTTGAGAGAATTTCAGCACTCTATCATGCTATTTTCTAGTCTTACTGTACTAGATTCTAGACTTACTGCACTTTGCAGTGACCCCTGAATACGTAAGATTATAACATTACGCGATGCAAGGAGGTTGGGGGACCCAAGGTGACATTCTGTCAAGGGAACCAGAATTTCTAGATACAGGCCTGGGAGTTACTTGCATTGAAAGACAAGGCCCTTTCTAACTACTCCTGGTTTTTAATTCTCAATTCCAGAGGAATATCTGTTACTATGAAAAACAATTACAGTAGATGGCATGAGGGCAAAACAAGGAAAAAGCAGGAAAAGATGAATTTAAATTTGTCCTGCAGAAAATATGACAAGGAACAGACCTATAAATGCTGGGTGACTTCATGACATGGTGACATGATGGGAACAAGACACAGAGCAGACATGGACAGCGCTGGGACGCACCCTTCGAAACAGTGGGCCACGGTGAGCGCCCACTTGTGGCCGATGAGCACACAGCCGCATATGTGGCCACTGGGGTCGCTCTGCAGGGAGCACTGCCAGGGCCAGCGGCCGGGCCGGCTGGTCCTCCCGCCCAGGATGCGCTTGGACATGCGCGCCGCAGGGCGCCGACCGCAGTCTGGGGGGGGTAGTTTCTGCAGGGTTAATTTTAACCAACCCACCTGTCCAGACTTTCTATGAAGCACACCAGATCTCTCAGCAATTTAACAAGGCAGAATCTGAGTGTTTACACATCTCGACATGTTGTAAAACGTAATTAGGCTGCCTGAGGGGTACCTTCTTTGGCACAACGGAGAGATACTCTTCTGCGCGAATGACAAGAATGCCTTAAGGAGAAAAAACATCACTTTTAGAGTTTTAGAATTCTGTTATGGAAACATTACATCATTAATGTTAATATCCATAATGTTCTACATCTGTACAGTAAATGCCATACAGATACACCTACCCTCGCTTCTCCAGCATCGCCTGCAGCGCAGACCCATTCCTGTGAGTCCAGTCAGGGTGAACATGGAGCCATCGCCTGCGGCCCAGCAGACCAGCCTGCTCCGGCACCATCTCCACGGCCGCGGGGATACTGCGGAGGAATAGCAGCCTGCCTTCAAATTTTACCTTAAAATTGTTAGATTCTTCATATTAAACAGTGTACTTTCAGTGGTCGTCAGGGTTCTCTTTTTAGAGCTATTTGCCAAATAGATTTAAGATTTTTTATCGATGATGTGGTCGGGATTAGTGTTTCAACCCGATTAAAAAAAATTGTTTAACATCCCTATGTATTATACAATGCCTTCTCTTTTCCCCGTCCTCTGTTCATCAACACTTCAAATTCAACTTGTATTTGCTTGCAAGTAATATTTTTGTTGGAAATGAATAATCTGTACAGCACACTTTTAAGTTAAACCATTTAAAAATATATATATATTAAAATATGGGTCATTCTCACGAACTTGAGAATTTTTTGGAAAAAAAAAAAGTTTTTATGTATCTATCAAATTGTATGATAAGATGTATATTTTAGCTTGATTTTTGTTAGTTTTGTCATTTTTTTCTCATCTCAGAAACTCTTGCCCTGGAATTGATGAAATATTTTTATTTATTATGGAAATAAATGGTAATATAATAAACTACCTCAGAGGCAAAATTGACAGACAGTGAAGTTATCAGTAATGTGATAGCATACCAATAATGTAATAAATTTCACTGTTCTTAATGTAATAAGTTAATAATGAAACAACTGACCAAGAATGTAATAATCATTACATTTTTTTTCCTTCAACAAAAAATAGTTACTGGTTCAGAAATTGTATCACTGCATGTATTAGTGCACAATGGTTGCTTGATGGTTAAGGAAGCGCACTTGTAATTGAAAGATTGCAAGTTCGAATCCCTGACCAGCAAGGCACCACTGAGGTACCCTGAGCAAGGTACCGCCCCCAAGCACTGCTCCCTGGGCGCTGAATTAGCTGCCCCCTGCTATGTTACATATGGGTTAAATGCAGAGGACACATTTCGTTGTGGTGGGTCAACAATGACAACTAATCATTAAATTTCTATTGGGCAGTTGATACATTATTCACTTGTATTTGGAAAAATATGACATATTTGGCTGCAACAAGTGGTCCTCAAACTGATTTTAAAAATCTGATAAAATTTCCTTCTGGATAAAATCAATCAATCAATCAATCAATCAATCAGTCAGTCAGTCAGTCAGTCTGTCTAAATATGTTATGGTAATGGGTATTTCACAATGATGCATGAACTCCACCCTGTGTTAATTCTACATTGATTTGGGATTCAACATATAAATATTTATGATTGTAAATATTAGGTGCAATTAATCGTGATTAATCACAATAAACCGTGATTGATGGGTTACTTTTTTTCAGATGATTTCCAACCCTACTCTGAATACACTCATGTGATTTATAAAGTGCAGTTTACAGTTTGTCCTCAGATTGCCTGTGGTCACAGTGCCAATTGCTTTATGTTTTGAGAGACACCTTTTTCTTATATGCTTATGTTTGCTCATAGCCTTGTTACTTAGCAACTATTCATTTTATAGTGACTGCCTACAATACATACCTTTTCATACATTATGGACTGAAAGTTGTATATGTGAAAATCTGGATAGTGAAATGCAGGATTTTTTGTTGCAGGAATGCATTTGATTGATGACTGATTGATTTAGTCATACATACTCAGCTGAAGGGCTGACATTAGGTCATTTTTATGTTTCCTCTGTGATCCACCAGGCTTTCACAAGGTTCTGGTAACATCAACAATTACTGAGGTATAAATGAAAAATTAATCTGCAGCTCCACCGCTGTTTCCTCAGCACATAAAATTAACAAAGCACTCATATTACCACCCATGTCACTGTTTCGTTCTTTGAAGCAGCAAACCCCATATACCTTGGTAAACACAAAAGCCATTTCTTCATTTATTTTGAGCGGCAATGCTCGTCAGGCTGTCATAGCTGTGATAACTCTTGTGAATGCCAATTTTGTCAGGTTACCACAGAAAAATGACAGCTGTCATATCATAACCCAGTTCTATGGCCCAGGGCAACACGTCCAGAAAAGCTCAGAGCCTGTGATGCAGCACAAGCTAATATTCACAAAATCAAACAATAAAGAGAGAGAGAGAGTGAGTCCAGGTAAAAAGCTGGTCCTTGAGATGGCAGCTGTGCCAAAGTGCTGATATAGCAGATATTCCAGGGTGCCAACTACTGACCTTACCCTAAACCCATCTGCTGGCACGCCAGGCGGCTCAGCTCCGGGTGCCAGTCATCTACGCAGACCTGGTACTCAGACGCCGTCTTATGGACCGTCAGAAGCGACAGGGATGTGTTGGACAGAGACACTGCAAAGTGTGGGGGAACATGATTATTATCAATGCGAACGTGAACACACAATGACATCCTTCTAGGTGGAAATATTGCCAAGATGAAATTGGAGTCGTAAGGGCTGCTCACTCACCGCAGTCCCACTCGTCTGAGCTGTCAGAGCAGTGCTTCACGCCGTCGCACCACAACGTGCGATGCACACACTTGTGGTTATTGCACGGAAGCTCGTTATCACTGCACACAGCTGCAGGACAAGCAGTATGAAGGGTTAGCAGACGCAGCCAGGGGCCCCGTCTGAAAAGCGAGGATCCCCCCCCCCCCCCCCCAAGGACAGCACACGACCTTCCGCTGGCTGCATCTGACTGCTGCCACACTTACAGCAATTCCGCTCATCAGCCAGGTCAGTGCAGTCTGGGAATCCGTCACAAATCATTGAGTGCTTGATGCAGGCTTTGTTACCGGGACATTCCCACAATCCTCTCTCCTTACATCCTGGTAACAAGAAAGGTCATGGACTGAAAAGCAGGGCATGTTTTTCTCACTCTGACTGTGAGCTGTAATGATCACATATTGCACTCTAATGATAGATTCGAACTGCATCTTAGGCCAAAGGAAATAAAAAAATTGAAATGAATTTTTGTCCCGGGTAATCTGAAGAGCAGTGCTAACGGCAGCTCCAAATACACGGAGAAGACAAATGCAGCACATTTAATGCAGCATATTAAACATTTAGACTACTATTCTAATTTAGTTGGAAAGACACAACTCTGCATACATATGGAAAAATCAATCTTAAGACTGACAATAGAGGTGACAGTAAATTATGTTTCTATTTTTTATCTCTGAGAGGCGCCAGAGACACAGAACCGCACGGCTGTCCATGCTGACATTGACCACTGGCATCGTCGTCCCTCCAGAAGCAAAGAAGCGCCTCTCTTGCATATTAACGCTTGTCAGCCGGTGAGAGGGAGGGGGGCCAGCCAGCCATTAATCATCCGACGAATACAGGATGTCCTTCAGTAATGATATTAGTCTGGGTCACTGCTGCCACTGTCTCAATAACTTCTTTTCGAAGTTCATGTGTTTTACCTTTAAAAAGACTTTCTAGCCATCTAGTGCACAGTATTTGTCAGTAAACTCTAAATCTATTCATAGCCACAATAAATCCCATTAAAACAATGAAAGCACATTACTGCTCTGCTCAGCTATAAACACACTTTGGATACTGGACTGGGTTCCTCACTGATCTCTTGGGGGAAACACGAGATAATGAGTGATAGGTGTGACAACCCCCCCTCCTCTGGTCAGATGGCTGTGCGATGGTGCGTGACTCACCACAATTCTCCTCATCACTGTCGTCATCACAATCCAAGTGGCCATCGCACCTCTTGGAGGACAGAACACACCTTCCCGACCGGCACTTGAAGTGGCTGGGAGAACATTCTTCAGGGACAGAAACAGAAAATTCATAAGCTGAAATCCAAACGATGAGACCCTGCATCATAGGAGCTGTGATGTGAGTCGTAGTTCTACATAAAGGCTAAATGCTCCGAGGTCTCGTCTGCTGTCGCCTTGGAAACACTGGGGAAAATGTAATGATATAACAGCTCGATGTCAGCTGACCGTCCACGTCCGGGTCTGGGAGCAGACAGGTGGAATTTTCCTGTCCTTCCTCTGGGAACTGGGCACAATCCGAGTGCTCTGGCCACTGCAATCCCACAATTCCAAGCACGGACTCACAGCGCTCCTTGGAATTCCGGCACAGAGACCTACAGAGGCACACAGACCCAGTGACAGACATGCATCGGGCTCCTCGCATGTTCTAAACACACAGCATGTGCTCAGCATAACCAAGTACAAATACATATTCTGGAATCTTTCTTCTTTATANACAGAGACATACAGAGAGAGCAGAGACAGAGACATACAGAGAGAGCAGAGAGACATACAGAGAGAGAGAGAGCAGAGACAGAGACATACAGAGAGAGCAGAGAGAGACATACAGAGAGAGAGAGAGAGAGCAGAGACATACAGAGAGAGACAGAGAGAGCAGAGACAGAGATATACAGACACAGGAGATATACAGAGATATACAGAGAGCAGAGACAGACACAGAGGGTGCTTTTCCACTGCACCAAGTACCATACTTTTGTTATGGTACTTTCCCTTTTCCATTGACTTCCAGCTGAGTACCAATACCAGTACCAGTACCAGTACCAGTACCAGTACCAAAAAATTCAGTTCTGAAAGTGCCAAACCAGCTGGGGCGCTTTGCTACTTCAATACTACTCTGGGGTGGGACTTGAAATGCTTTCTTTGTCTATTGGTTATGCAAATAGCCTGCCGCTGAAACACAATACAAACGGTGCCTTGAAGAGTTGTGAAAACAATGAATTAAGTGAAAAAAAAACCAAAATATACAACAAAAAGATCAAGGTGGCATGACAAATTTAAAAAGTTTTTTCTTTATTATTCTAGGATGTGCTTAAATATACTAGGATCCTAGAAATGTGATTTTGTGGTAAAAAAATATATTGGGGAATTTATAAAAGAAAGAGCAGCTCATAAATCTCTCACAAAACTGTCTACAAGTGATTTAAACGGCAAGGATGAAATGATTATGATTGTCTCTGAGAATGCATGCAGTGCTCATGCAAAAGCAGCGGAGGTAAAACTTTAAACTGATTTTTAAAACATATATTAGATGCTCTATAAAAGGAATAATAATTTAAATGGCAAAGCTTGCCAAGTTATATGTGTGCTGTCCTAGTATAAACAAAATACTTTTTAAATTTCTTGTTATGCTATCCTGATCTTTTTGTTGTATCTGTTCTTCCGACCAGATCACAATGCATACATACATATTTATCGTTGTTTTCTGAGTTTGCAACTGTTTTCAAGGTGGTGTTTGCATATTGTTTCAGAGGCAGGCTATTTGCATAACCAATTGACAAAGAAAGTGTTTCAAGTCAAACCCTAAAGTACCGACGTACCAAAGAAGTACCCCAGTTGGTTTGGCACTTTTGGTACTGGAATTTTTCGCACTGCTACTCTACCGGAAGTCAATGGAAAAGCGAAAGTGTGGTGGAAAAGCACCCANAGAGAGAGACACAGATGTAGAGAGAGCAGAGAGAGACACAGATGTAGAGAGAGCAGAGAGAGACATAGAGATGTAGAGAGAGCAGAAAGAGACACTGAGATGTAGAGAGAGCAGAGAGACAAAGAGATGTAGAGAGAGCAGAGAGACAAAGAGAGAGA